ATGGGACTTCGTCTGCCATGTGCGGGACTTAAAGGGGTTGCAGATGGCACTGTAGCGCTCCAGAGAGATGGCCACGAGGTTGAATGTCGATACACTCACCGAAATACCTGTGTGTTTGGACGCACAGAACTCAATTGCACATACAGAAATAAATCTGGCCTTGTTAAAGTATTGTGAGTCTAAGAAGGTCTGATATATATGCTTCTATAAACAACAGTAAACACAAAAATGGAAACAGACATGCAAACTTCATACCAAACTAACTCCAAGCCCTGATAACAAAGGCATGAACTGTTAATAAAGTTAATGGCTGCTGGCACTTTAACGGCAGTACACTGCACACTTTACACCAAGTATGAGCGCAGCTCCAGCTCTTCTCTGAATAATCAACAGCGCTTGATTGCTTATGAATGTTGACATACCCACACGGTAATAACAACAGAGTATGTAAATTAAGTCAGCTTTATCATGAGCAAGTATTACAGAATAGCACAAAACAAACACATAAAACATGCTGATGCATCAAATACAGAGATATCGGGCAGTGGCGTTGTCTCATTACTAAATTGTTTACATGGCACATTTGCAGCATCTGGAAGTGTGCTATAAATAGTTTGACACAAAATGCAACAAGTCATAAATATGAATTCACAATGGATGTGACTTGCAATATAATCTGAAAACAAAACAAAAAAAAGCTGTGGTCTTGCCAATATGATTGAGGCTTATAATACAATATAAAATGCATTTTAGTACCCAGTGCAAGCTTCACTGTGTTTGTGGTCTATGCTTTTAGCGCCTTAATGAATAGTAAATGAATCTCTAAATCAACCTTTTTTTATAACCAAATGCAAGAAAAAAAGCAGCTGGAACATGAAGTATCCTTTGGTTAGGAGACCTTTTATAGTCTGCCTCTTGCAATCAATGTGATCAGATGCCCTTTTTAGGGCATAAAGAAGCTTGTAAGATCAGTGAATATTATGCAAACATTCCTATACTATAATGTATCAAAAAGTTTTTTAAAAAAGTGAAAAGTTAGTAATAAAATGAAGAATAATTTACTACAGTATTTTACCACAGCCTTCCTCTGTGTAAAAGTATTAGGCTAGTTTTAAGGTAAGAAAATCAAATCATATCTAATTTTTAGTTCGATTTATATATGTTAAATGATTTGCTGTCACCTGAATGAACAGATTTTATAGTTTGACTTTATTTGTAACAATTATGCAAGCCTTTAAAATACAAATATCGTGCCTGACCATATGGGAGGGGTGTAACACTTTCCAGCATACAGTGAACTCAGAAAAAAACGTTTACAGGTGGTAAATTTACAGTTACAGGCGTTTGTTCAGCACGTGCCTACTACACGTACTACAGTTGTTACTTTAAAACTTAAGTCACTTGGTATTAGACCCTAATCCCAATACCAAACAAAAATATACTGAAAAGTGTATTTACAGTTTGAATAATTGTAGTAACAGGTATCGTCGCAGAAATTCGGGTTATGGTGATTTTTGTAAGGCATGGAGTATGGACACAAAGTGAGAACCAACTCTAGTCAATTCCAAACACTGAGCTATTCTAGAAGTGAAGTGTGAACTACAGATATGAAACTGACTCACCCATGAAGTACGTGGCCACTTTACACATGCCGGTGCCGAAGATAAAGTTCTTCATGAGGTTTGGGATGAGTGTGAAGGGCATGCAGAAGACACACAGCATCAGATCACTGACGGCCAGAGACAGCAGGAACAGGTTCGTGACCGTCCGCATGCGCCGGTTCCGCACCAGAACCGTGATGATCAGGCTGTTTCCTATGAAGCTCAGCAGGAAGATGAACACATACAGCACGATCCGCACCGTCTGGTTCATGTCTGACAAACAAGTACGAGAGAAAGCATGTGTTATTTGACCAGATTTAACAAGCAAACTACAGTGAACCTTTACTCAGATATGCAAAGCTTTACAAGACCTGTCTAGACTCGTTCACAACATTTCAGGACAAAAGCTCATTGTAAAATGTGGTAACCTGTAACTGTTACATTAAAGAAACATTTTTTAACTGACATAGCTCATTAAAAAATATTTTGTTGGTAAAAGCTGATTCAAGGATGCTAAATGACTTTTTTTTGCTTAAATACAATAGGTTAATTTAAAAATTTGTTCATTGCTTAATATGCGCATAAAATAAAGTAATAAAGTAATATGCAATAAAAATGTAAGATTTTCTTTACCTTTTGGTTCGGACGTGCCGTTATTGTCATTTTTGCACTCCGACAAATTCCCGATTCCGAGTCCACATAATATTTTATAAATATCAGTGGAATTGATGAGCATATCGTGAATTGTAAATGTCTCCATGTTTGCTTGTTATTTCTGATCACTGTCCTTCGCTATATAGAAATATATCTATCCAAATGAATTTCTTTTCATCTCTTGGAGGTGAAAGAACACCAACTTTTGATCTGCCATAATGCCAGAGATATGCACTCTATATTAAAACACATGCTTTTATCTTATTTAATTATTATATATTCAAGACACAATGGTAAAAAGTTTTGAGATGTCAAAAGAAAAATTGAAAAAAAAATTACAAAATAAAATGGATAGTTAAGTACATCCAACCCTGTATATCATCAAGCGTTCCTGCTGAGTTGTGATGTGAAGTAGGCTAATGCAGTTGATCAGTGCTGTCGTCCACAGAACCACAGACCCCGCCTTCACTTTCTCACTAGACACCTTCCATGAATAAGGTACACCCCTATTTTTACACAGTCTTTGGTACACCCCCATCACATTTCCTGAAGCATTACAGCATTTAAATTATTTAAATTTAAAAAATGTTTGTGAACAGTTGTGTAACATAAAAATAATACGTTGAATATATTCTATTATTATTATTATTATTAGTAGTAGTAGTAGTAGTAGTATTTATTATATTACTATCAATATTAATAATAATAATAACAACAACAACAACAATCATAATAATAATGTTGTGTTATAGTTTTCTTGGTACCTCATTCTACTCGTAACTCAGTTACCCTTAGTTACGCAACTCAGATTTCCCCCTTTCAAAAATGCAATATTCAAAAAAAAAATTTGACACCCAAGAAATATTTTGGACCCTTTCTACAGCATGACAATAAGACAAGTAAATAATCGTGTTTGCCTTGCCCTATTGGATATTGTTCGCCGGAGCCTGATCAAGTCTGCCCTTGGATTATTATTTTGTCTCGCCTGTGCCATACCTGTTTGCTGGTGTTTCGACCCTGCCTGTTTCTGACCATGTATTTGAATAAAAGCTTGCATATGGATCCGCACATCTCTCGTCTCGTTCGCCCCGTTATAGGGTCAAAAGTTTGGAATAATTATAATTTTGTAATGTTTTGAAACTCTCCTATATGCTGACAGAGGCTGCATTTGTTTGATTAATATATTTTAAAATGTAGTTTATTCCTGTGATGGTAAAGCTGAATTTTCAGCAGCCATTACTATGGTAATCAGTGTCACATGATTATTCAGAAATCATTCTAAAATGCTGATTAATCAGCATTTTAGAATGATTTCTGAATAATCACGTGACACTGATTACCATAGTAATGCCTGCTGAAAATTAACACAAGAAATGTGCTATTAATTCTGTTGATTCTTTTACACAAAATTGTAACCTTTTTAAATAATATTGAAATGCATTTGCTTCCATTTTACAAATTATGCTCTTGGATTTAGCTTTACTATCTTGACTTCATCAGTTTATCCTGAGAGAGATTTTAAGGGCCTTTTTAGGGTCATTTACTGACCTCTCCACCGAACAAAGCACTCACACATTTTAACAGCCTGAAAGATGTTTTATAGATTTGGAGAGTGAAGAAGAGAGAGAGAAAAAGGTCTGTGAAATAAACTCACACTTTAAATGCTTCTAAACATCTTAACTTGTACAAAACAATGTTCTTGTGTTTATACAGTATGTGTATGTGCACGTATAGCTTATAGTATAAAAGGGTTTGCAACAACTATTCTACAACTATTCAATGCATCAGACCTGTGCAGATTTGTCGATTTGTGCTTGTTGATGCAAAAACCTTATTAATTCTGACCTGACAGTTCACACTGAAGTCACACTGTCAAAAAATAAATAAATAAAAAAATAAAATATATATATGATTGGAACATAGCCTGCTGGACATACGCTCAATTACTGTTCTGGATGGCAATGACCTATTTACTGTGACTATGCTACTACATAACATACAACTAACTGATTAAGATTACTATCAGCCATACTAACATTGTTGTAAAACATGAAGATTAGAGGGTAAGTCTTTTGAAGAAGACCACACGCAGGTTTTGTTGTAGTAACTCAAAAATCTCTAGCACTGGCCAAAAGCTTTAATTCCTGATAGCTGCTGTCAGATATATTTGTGCATGATAAACATGATCAGCATTCCTGTGACGAGACACAGAGAGAAGAAACTGCTCAGGTTCAACCTATTGTACATGTTCAGGTTCAACCTGTTAAGAAGGATTAAGAAGGATTACTTTTTTATTTGTCTCTTTTTAAACATATATTTAATGAGTGACACCTAAAGGCCTATGACATATTTTCTTCTGAATAAAAAAAAAATAATAAAAAAACACATAATGATCTTGTTATTCTTTGAAATTCCTGTCTTTTCCATTTTTAATTTTTGATTTTTAAAGTTTTAAAGTAAACATTTAATCAAACAAAGAAATGTAAAAATAATGAAATACTACCATGATGTATAAATATGTTACATTTATTTAAATGTATTGTTTTAATATTTTTTAAAAATAAATCTATAATAAAAAAACAAATACATAATAAAAACACAAGCTAAATAAAAAACTCAATTTTGTGGAATTCATTATTTAGATTTTTACGACAGGAACTCTTATTATTAAAGTTAATAAAGGCATGTCGGAACCTTGTGTTGAAGCCAGTGTTTCCTGAAGGGTTTGTTGTCATTTGTCTGGATACGGTGCCTCATCCTGTGATGCTGCAGCGCTAACAGATGACAACAGAAAATCCCGTCGACATCACATTAAAAGAGTGATAATGATGGACGAGAGCGTCTCTATAACGCAGATTGTTCAGCGGCTCAAAGGGACTAATTTACACTCTCAGCTGGAGAAACAGGCTAAAGTGAGCAGCTTCAGCTAACTGACTGCAGAGTGTGCAACACGGTATACGGTCACTGCAGTATACTGCCAGCTCGCGCTTGCTGTTGTATTTCATTGCAGAAATGTTTCCTTCTTCCTAGGAATGTTTGCACAAACCTGAAATTAAACTGGAAACGCTGAAAGATGATGTGAGAAGATTGTTAAAGGCATCAGGTATGACATGGCTGTCGGATGAAAAAAAAAGTATAAAAAAAATTGAAGCAAGTATCTTTTATTTAAAATAAAACCAAATGTAGTGTACATTTTTTTTAAACTTCCGTTTAAAAATTTGGGGTCAGTGAGTTTTTTTTTTCTTTCTTTTTTTTCTTTCTTTTTTATATACTTTTAGTCAGCAAGGAATCATTAAATTGATAAAAAAAGTGACAGTAAAGACATTTACATTGTTACAAACTATTTCTTTTTCAAATAAATACTGTTCTTTTGATCTTTCTATTCATCAAGAGTTAGTTTTTTTTTTTTTTTTTACAAAAATATTAAGCAGCACAAATTGATGATAATATTAAGAAATGTTTCTTAAACAGCAAATCAGCATATTATAATCTTTTTGGTAAAACTTTATAATAAGTATATGCTAATAAAGTACTTACAAATCATTAACAAACTATTAGTTTGTAGTTTATTCATAGTTCATAGTTCAAGTACTGAGTTCTTCATTCATTTGCACTGTAATTATCTCAATATGGTTTAATTACCACATAGTAAAGGAATTGTTAATTGGTAATAAGGAGTGAATAGTTATGAAATTAGGTCATGGAAAATGGGAAAATGCCATTAATTAAGTGCTTTAAACCAACCTTTATTGAACATTAATTGCATTCATTCATATTCACTGTCCCTTAAAATGTTTACAAACACATTAAGGACACACACACACAAACACACACTTGCATATATGTAGTTTACAGGGACTCTTCACAGGCGTAATGGTTTTTACTGTACAAACTGTATATTCTACTTCATAAACCTAATTCCCCCCCTCTCTCTCTTTAGGTTTCTGTGATGGGTAGGTTTAGGGTTAGAATTAGGGTAAAGTAACAGAATATACAGTTTGTACAGTGTAAAACTATGGAGATATATAAGTAAAGGTTGGTTTTAAGCATTTAATTAATGACATTTTCTCATTTTCCATGACCTAATCTAAAGTGAGAACTATTTATGGTTAATACATTTTTAACAACGCATTATCTAACCCTTTACATATGAGCTAATTAAACAATAATAATTGTGTTAATTACAGTGACAGTGAATGAAGAACTCACTACTTGTTTAGAGGCTATTAATGTCTTAACTACAGTTAATAGTGTAAACTATGAATGAACTATAAACTAACATTTTGCAAATCATTTGTAAGTACTTTAGTAGTGTATACTTATAAAGTGGTACCTGTTTTTTTAATGATCATGTGACTGAACATATAATATATGATCTCGACATCTATCAAGTGATGAATTGCTCAAGTGATGAATGTGCTTCTTGTGTGTAATTCTTGTAGTGTCACTGATCCTTTCATTCTTGTAGGTTGGGAGAGAAAATTACAAAATGCAGTTTACAGGGAATTACACATGTAAGTGATATATTGTGAATATAAAATTAAGTTTTTTCTAATGCAGTTCATTAATTACATTAACTGGTTTCTTCTACTTGTATTTTCGATTTTATTTTATTCCTGTATTAACATACTGAGATCATCAGCAATAAAAATGATGACATGAGATTTAGACAAGATGATATTATCTCTCTCTCACTCACTAGAGTCTAGAGTGTTTGTTCCTCCAGTTTTAGTATTTATACAGTTTTATGACAGGAACTCCTTTTAGCCAAATGTAAAAATGACAAGAGACAGAATAATTTTATTAAGCTTAAAATGATCCAGATCCAAATACAGGACAGGACTGACAGGAGAGCCCGAGGTACAATACAGATTACTTTTACAGAGTGTAGCCAATAAAATAGTTTGAGCTGGACATTGTTACAGATGAGAAAAAAAGCAATAAATATATATACCTTTAAATATATGACCCCTTGTTTGAAAATGGACAGTGTTGTGAGTTGTTTTGTAGATACACGTTCTCTGTTTGTCATTTTTGGTGATGTGTTTATCCTAAAATGAGTGTTTTAAGTTAATGGGACAGAGGAAAGACTGAAGGGACTGAAAGAAAGAGCTTCATAAAGTTTGATAATGGAGTATGGTGCCTTGATGCCTTGGTGTGTTATAGTACAGGTTAGGGTTGGGCCGATAGACGATGCCATCACGATGTTAAGCTTTTTTATTTATTTATTCATTTTAATATTATTATTTTTTTTATTTATGTGTGTTTGTGTGGTATAGTCTGCCTCCCCCTGGGCACCCTAGAGCACCTCCTGAACACACCAAAGAGCCCTTGGCATATATGCGCAAAACCCAGGTACACACTCTTTCTCTTACATCTTTATCTTTATTATTCTGGCTCTCTTCATTTTTAGTCTTTATATACTGTATTTCTCTGCTTATACTCAAATGTGGCATCAAACAGTATTTCAACACTTTTGAACTCTTACTGTAAGTCACATTTTACATTTCTGAATGCCATTGCATAAGTAACATAATTTTGTGACTCTTTTTTTTGACTCTTCAGACAAATGACAAATTACAATTTCTCAGAACAAACTTAATTTTTCTGAGCCATTAGTTTTAATCATCTGGTGTCAAGGTCACTCACTCTACTGTATTAAGTCAGTTCTCCTCAAGTTCACAAAGGTGCAAAGGAATTACAGATGTAGTTAATCACATTAACTACAGTATAAACATGATCTGGTTATCAACATTTTGCTTACTAGCATATAAATTAACATTCAAAATGTTTGGGTCAGTAAGATCTTTAAGTGTTTTTGAAAGAAGTCTCTTATGCTCAGCAAGACTGGATTATGTAATCAAAAATACAGTAAAAACAATAACATTGTGAAATAGGGCTGGGCGATATGGTCAAAAAAATTATCACGATCATTTTTTTCATATCAGTCGATATCAATAATTATCACGATAAATGTCAAAATCACTTTTTGTCTCTTAGAAATGCACATTTGATAGTAGCTTGAGTTAGGATGCAAGGGTACATTTTTGTTCATTATCAAAAGCAGTAACATCTCTAAAAATTGTAGTAACCTCAGTTTTATATGGTGCTTTGTAGAAAACGAAGCGTTTGAGAGAGGCGGGGCATAGAGGACCTACAATAATGTACAGTATTTGAAAAATAATGTGTTTTTTGAACATTAAAGCATGTCAACATATTCTGTTACACCAAATACACAAAATAATGATCTTTAAAAAAACATCATATGACCCCTTTAAAATAGCATCATATGACCCCTTTAACATGGGGAGTGTATGGGATTGACTCCCTTTTGCAGCCAGCCTCTAGCGGCCAGTTGACGAATTACAGTTTAAGTCACTTCCGTGTTGGCTTCACGAGAGAGAGCGGGAGGTTGCCGCTTGTTTGTAACATGACCATACTTTTTTTGGTGAGATATTTTGCTTGAAAAGTATGTGCTATTTTATTTACAATAGATTTCACTCGTTTTTTATTTTGTTATATTTAGCGAAGACATTCATACATTAGGTGTGGCCTGAGTGTCCAAACACATTTTGGAGCCATGCAGAGTGCATAGACGACTGATAGTTTGTCTTGTGTGTGTTTGTTGTAGGTGAACTGGGAGAAGAGGATCCTGAAGAGTTTGAACAGTATGTGCACTGAGTTGGGAATTCCATTGGCACGGAAGGTAAAGGTTTATTTCATTGTATGTACAATGACTCATTTACATGTGCGTTTGAGCAATTAAACTGTCTTTTTTTTCTTCTTTTATACAGCGGCCAGTCCCAGAGCAGAAAGAGCTGACAAATAAATGGAACGAGATGGGAACTGATGAACCAGGTAATGCAGACACTCACAGTCTGTTCTTCCACTCTGACATACTCAAGGTTACATCCCAGTGTGTGTGTGTGTGTGTGTGTGTGTGTGTGTTCATGCATTGCAGAATGTTTACACACAGAGGTTTGGCTCACACACAGAAGCCCTGAGCAGTATAACAGCTCCATAACAATGCTATCAGTTTGCAGTGTATATGATAACATTCACCGCTTTCTGCATGACTCATTTACATGTGCGTTTGAGCAATTAAACTGTCTTTTTTTTCTTCTTTTATACAGCGGCCAGTCGCAGAGCAGAAAGAGCTGACAAATAAATGGAACGAGATGGGAACTGATGAACCAGGTAATGCAGACACTCACAGTCTGTTCTTCCACTCTGACATACTCAAGGTTACATCCCAGTGTGTGTGTGTGTGTGTGTGTGTTCATGCATTGCAGAATGTTTACACACAGAGGTTTGGCTCACACACAGAAGCCCTGAGCAGTATAACAGCTCCATAACAATGCTATCAGTTTGCAGTGTATATGATAACATTCACCGCTTTCTGCAGGACACTGGCATAAACAGCCCTTCCTGTGAATCCAGAGCATGTCCAGATGCCTGGACCACATCCCAATTACTAAAGCTATTGCTTAGCTTCTTTCTTGCATTCTTTCTTCTGCTTGCACTTTGTTTCTCTTGTTCTTGTTCTGTCTTACAATTTCAGCATGACTTTCAAAACATAAAGTAATATTGCCAGATTAACAGATTTTGTTCATGTTAGAGGATTACTTGCAAAATGGAAATTTGGTCATCATTTATCACTCACTCACTCACTCACTCATTTAGTTGGTTAACATGTTTTTTTCCTTCTTTGGAACACAAAGGTTTATGCTCTTTTCCAATTGGATGGGGATTTTTGTATGTCCAAAAAATACACAGGAAGTATCATGTACATCATATAAAATCATATACAACTTGTATGCCATATTCCAGGTCTTCTGAAGCTGTATAATAGCTGTGTGAGATTTTGGAAAGTTGTTATTTATTTAAACAAGTAGTAATACTCCAGTACTGCATTTTTTCTGTGTGTACTTTATATATATTTTTCTGATCAGTTGCCAGAGTTTTAAAAACTGACAGCATTTTTTAGCTGTTATTAATCATTGTGGATGTGAAATGCCACAGATAACAGAGAGCAATTAAGATACTGAGGTTGCAAGTTAAGGTTCCCATTACTTAAAGAGCTATTATGTCTGCTGCATTATAAAAACTATAACAATGTCTTTGACATTATTGAAGGGTTAAGATTGAGAGAATTTCGTCATCATGTTTTCAATGACACTAACTGGTAGGCTATTATAATATACAAGTTTGGAAGCACTCAGATCTGTGTTTTCTTATTGCAGACCTAAGCAAATTCAGGCCTGTCTACGCACCCAAAGACTTCATTGAGGTGGGTCTCACTTACATAATCAAATCAGTTTATTGAAAACATCCGGTCCAAATGAGAAAGATAGGCCTGGATATGAAGCAGCTGATTGGCTGTTTTAATTTCACATTTAAGGTACCTTTTCATTTTTAAAATAATTTCATACTTCAGTTTTCAATGTTTTATGTTTAAAATATTAAAACATTATTTATGCATGTGTAACTGCAGGTTAGAGTATTCCATGTCCCTCAGAGCTGCCTTACATAATCAAATCAGTTTATTGAAAACATCCGGTCCAAATGAGAAAGATAGGCCTGGATATGAAGCAGCTGATTGGATTCCCTCAGGAATATTCGGTTAAATTACTCTCGAGTGAGAATTGACTGAGTGGTTGTTTTGATAGCACCACAGAGCCACTGTGTTTACACTTATGAATGGTTTATTTATTGCTGGCTATATATAATTGGAATATTCAGCTGGGATAAGAGGGTTTTGTAGAAAATGTTATCAAAGGTTGTAGCATTTATCATGTCTCACTTTTTACTATACATATGTATTCTTATTTAGGTAATATGAAACATAATATTTCTTGTTGTGTAGGTGTTGGTTGGTTTAAAAAACCCAAATAACGAGCGCAGTGAAGATCTCACAGTCAGAAGCCACTGGGGATTAATCCAGGTTTCCCTCAACGTCCGTGACATTCTTCAAATGGTGAGTCTCCCTTTTTTTATTTCACTTCCTTCTATTTTTTTAATGTCAAGACACAAAGAATGTGCATTGTGACTGCTGATTATCATCTGAAACCATTTCTTTAAACAAATTACAGTAATCAAGGGTTAGAGAAAAATCTAAATGATTGTGGAAACTATCTTGGTGCTCACTGCCTTTTTTTACCAGCTGAAGCTTTGATTCATTTTGATTTTCAGTGTTTTTTGTGGAGTTTGACATGCTGAATACGAAAATCATATTTTTGTTTTACAGTATTAACAGCGGTCAAAGAAATATTACAAGCTAACTAACAGGGTTTTCGCGGGCCTTAAAAAAGTCTTAAAAAGTCTGTATCTGAACTGTAAATTATGCTTTTTACAGTTTAATATGGTACTATAGACATTGCCCTACCCCGCTCATATGGTATTAATTTTATTTGTGCAGGTCTTAAAAAAGTCTTAAAAAGGTCTTAAATATGAGCTTAAAAATCCTGCAGAAACCCTGACTAAAAAAAACTTATAAAAGCTAATCTGTTATTACTCATGCATAAAAATTACATGGTACATGCACAGTACTGAGCTAACAACACTGAGTCGTCCAGAACTTCAGAAGTGTATGCTGGATGTTCCCACAATGTTCTGGAATGTTCAAGAAAGCACTAGAATAACATGTGACAATTGAAGAATGGGTTAATGGCTGCTTGAACATTCAGATTTGCCATCACATGAATGTATATGCTGATACATTTTAAAACATATTAAAATAGAAAACAGTTCAGTTGTAATAATATTTCACAATATTACTGTTTTACTGCATTTTTGATCTCTTGAATGTGCTCCAGATCATTAGACATTATATTACGGTTTTCTTTAGGATGCACCTTCATATACAAAACAATACTTGTTTTGTCAGTGACAGATTTGGCATCAAGGCAGCTGCTTTAGGTTTTAGACACATCCAGAAGGTTTCTCTCTAAAAGTGTTTACTAAGATGTGTGAGGGTCCCACTTGTTTTTCTGCATTTCTGTAGTGGTGAGCGAGCAAGACAGTGCAGCGGCGCAGCAGTACAGCAGGCAGGGCTGCCCCACCGGTCTCAGGGCCCAGCTGTGGTCTCTCATCCTGAATACTACTAATGATCCTGAGGTAATGACTCCATTTCAAACTGCATTTAGAAAGGGGAATATAACTGTTTAAAGTTTGAGGTCTGTACGATTTTTTAAAAGAAATTGTTACTTTTATTTAGCAAGAACACATTAAATTGATCATAAGTGACAATTATATAAAAAATTCCAATAATCTCTATTCCTTTGAACTTACTATTCATCAAAGAATCCCAATGAAAATGTCAAATGGATCATGGTGATTGATCCTGAGGTAATGACTCCATTTCAAACTGCATTTAGAAAGGGGACACTGTTTTGACAGTTATTCCAGATGGAAGTGAGCCAGTGAATTTGTGTGTGTGTGTGTGTGTGTATGTTATGGTACTGCCCTGCACCTATCAGAGTCTTCACAAATGGATCATGGTGATACATTGATAATAATAAGAAATGTTTCTTGAGCACAAAATCAGCATATTAGAATGATTTATGAAAGATCACGTTGACACTAAAGACTCAAGTAATGACTGTGAAAAATTCAGCTTTGCCGTCACAGGAATACATAGCATTTAAAAAAAAAAACTATTCTTAAATTATAATAATGTTTTACAATATTGCTGTTTTTTACTGTATTTCTAATCAAATTAATGACCTTGGTGAACACAAGAGACTTCTTTCACAAACCCCAGTCTATAGTAGACCCCAGGTAGTGTATATATACCGTACTTTTTTCTCCCTTTCATACAAACACAGTCATGCACAGATCCTCAAACATATATAAAACTACCATAAATATTTAGGTACCTTTAAACAGATGCAACCATTTGTATATCTTAATTGTCATTTATGGCAGTTGTTGTGAACATGTGCCAGAACTGACATTTTATGGGTATTTATTTGTACTTATCAGACACATTCATGGCTGAAATGTTCCATATGCTGTGCAAATTACAGTTTCAGAGTACAAGTAGTAAAAGCATTACACTGTTTTGCGAGGGTTAATAAAAATTTAATATAAGATGTAAACATTTTTACAGTAGAGATTTTGTTAAGGCTCAAATCAAGTTGAGATCAGAATGAAGTATGTTTGGTTGGTGTGAAACCAGTTTTTGCTGATGTGTACCATATTTGAGCCATATCTGAGTTTGCTTTAAAAGGTGGTTTGGCAGCTGCTATTAATGATGTATAATTTGCATGCTTTTTATAGCATAATGCCTTTCAAAATGTGAAAAGACATTTGAAATTGTACACTGGTCCAGACCAAGCAGTCCAGTCAAGTGTGAAAACAGTCATAATCCTTCCTAATAAAATTAGCTTTGAGTTGCTTGTGGGGCAGAAATGACGGAGCAGGTACCCGCTGTGATTTTTCACGCTGGCTGATGGGTCCTTGGGCCTTCATTAAAGCAGTGAAACAGCATCTGGAGAATGCACTTTCCCTATGTGTTAATAAGAAGACAAACACCCGGCGTGGGGCGACACATTTTAAACAAGTAGAGTAATCCCTCACTTTTTGAGCTAGTGCTGTAGATGTGGGCAGGACAGGAGCCAGTGGAATGACAGAGAGGGGAAGAGGGGAAATCACAAGAGGTTTAAATGTTTCAGTTGGAACAATTATGTAACTGCTGATAAAGCAGCTGTCTGGATGACAGCGACCAGCTCACATGCCTATTCTCAGAAAAATGGGGAAAATTCTCCTGTCCCTCTGGGTAACAGGAGGGCAATGGGCTTTTAAAAAGACTCATGATTGGAGCCTGTCTTAGGGCGTAAATGTTTAAAATGATAAGGGATAATCAAAGTTAATTATGATAAAGTTAGCTTGCAATTATGATTTCCAAGTAAGAACTTCCTGGGATGACTTGTCTTGAATGCAGGAAAATGGAAAGTTTTTGACTACAGTGTCTCTTCATGAACAGTATTATTGGTATGGTAACACTTTAGTATGGGGACCAATTCTCACTATTAACTAGTTGCTTATTAGCATGCATATATTGGCTGTTTATTAGTACTTATAAAGCACATATTCTGCATGACCATATTTTACATCCCTAATCCTCCCCAATGCCTAAACTTAAAGGGATATTTCACCTTCAGTTGCTAGTCCCCATTGACTTCCATAGTATGAAAAAAAAATACTATGCAAGTCAATGGGGACCAGCAACTGAAGGTGAACTATCCCTTTATTATCTACCTCACTAACTATTAATAAGCAGCAAATTAGGAGTTAGGAATGGTTTGAATGGTTAATAGCCAGAATTGGACCTTAAAATAAAGTGTGACCCTATTATTCTAATGTAACTATATA